TGCATCCTGTACGTGTGGCTCTTCCTGGCCAGCGTCACCCCGATGTCCCGGTTGCACATGACCGCATCCAGCATCAGCAGCGTGTTCACGAAAGTCTTCGTGGCCCCTCTGGGCATATCGATGGGCCTCCTGTTTCTGGCCACCGTGCACCAGCGGCTGCGCCCAGACACGTTGCCGAAGATCAAGGAGGACATCAGAAGGAGGTTCGAGTCCGACGAGATGGAGCAGATGGCGCTCGAGACAATCTCCCAGCCAGGGGAAAAGTCCTGCGAGGAGCCCGAGGTGGAGCCTGAAGAGAACGTCGTCGTGCCCATGCTGCCCGGCGCCCTGAGCGACAGCGACGACGACGACCTTGCCGTGGAGGAAGACGCCCTTGGCATCGTCTTCGGGATGCGGTACGAGCACGCCGACCATCGCGAGTTCTGCAGCGCGCTCCGGCTTGGCTTGCTGGGGATGGGCGTCGGCGCCGCTGGCCTGAGCGAGGTGCACGTCGCCCTTCACGAGAGCCCCGACGGCGGCACGGTCGCCAAAATCAGCGGCCCCGTGCCCGCGATCGTCGAGATCGAGGTCACGGACCTGGTGGATCTCCTCCAGGTTGATGAGCTTGTTCTCCACCGCCACCACCATAAGTTGGAGGGGGGAAGGAGGAGGAGGAGGAGGAGGACGAAGAGGAGGAGGAGGAGGAGGAGGAGGAGGAGGAGGAGGAGGAGGAGGAGGAGGACGAAGAGGTGGAGGAGGAGGAGGAGGACGAAGAGGTGGAGGAGGACGACGAAGAGGAGGAGGAGGAGGAGGAGGAGGACGAAGAGGAGGAGGAGGAGGCGGCGGAGGAGGAGGAGGAGGAGGAGGAAGAGGAGGAGGAGGAGGAAGCCCCCCCCTCCAGCTTATGGTGGTGGTGGTGGAAAACGCGCCCACCACAGGTCGCCGGGTGGAAGCCCCTGGAGGTTCAGCCGTCGGGCCATCGCACCCGCGGTGCCGACCGGCTGTACCGGGTGCTGGAGAAGGCGCGCCAGGCAGAGGACTCGGGTCGGACGAAAGGGTTGATTGGAAAGGGGGGGTTACGAAATTTGCTGCATGCAGCTGGTTTCGGCCTCACCGAGGGGCCCGTTCCTCGATACATAGCCGCCTCTGGCGCCGGGAGGCGCCGGGAAAATCAGCTACGTGAGCTGATTCTCAAACGCCCCCTTGACTATCCCCCACTTTCGCCTGACCCGAAGGACGAACTGCGCGCTTGGCTCGAGGCCGCGGCGGCGCGCGAGAGAGAGGTGCTCGAGGAGTGCCGAAACGGCTGCTCTGCGACTGCGTGCGAATCCTGTTGCGGGCCCAGTAGGACTGCTTTTGAGTATGGGACAACCCAGTCGAGACTCCCCTCGGCCATCATGAGCCCTCGTCGGTGTTTCCAGAAGTCTGCCCTGCAGGGGGTAGAACTGCCATGCGGCCAGGGGCGCTCTGTCTGAATGAGCCTGGACGTTCGGGAGTCCGCGTGCGTCTCCTGGATGGGCGCTTGGCCTCCCTTGGCGGGCGCCTCCGGCTCCGCCACTTGCGCGCGGCTCGCGCGCCAGGGGATGGATGTCAAGTGCCGAACCGAGAACAAATCGCGCGGGCTTTCGAAAGTTGAGTCTGCATGTCCGAAGATGCTACTCCCTCATCTGAAGATGGGTTTCTTGTGACTACCCAGACGCCTCCAACTCACACTTTCTCACCTCACCTTCCTTTTGTCCCCAAATCCTCAATTTCCTCATTGGGAGTCGTTCGTACCCAGTCATACTTAGACTAGCTTATACTCAGACTTACTCACACTCAGACTAGCTCACATCCTCCTCTTTGTCCCCCCCTCCACTCGCTCATACCCAGCCTCTCTCGTGCTCAGATTCACTCACCCAGCCTCACCCACATCTTCCCCTTCTTCATCCAGGCTCATTCATACGCAGACTGACTCTCACTCAGACTAACTAACGCTGAGACCTACTCGAGCTCAGATTCACTCGCACGATGACGCATTCATGCTCGAGGCGCGGACGCTAATGGGGAGCCGCCAGGGGTTGGCTGCACGGCCACAGTCGCGCCCAGTTTGTGGGGATCTCCTGCCTCTGCTTTCAGGGCAGGTTGTGAGGTTGCCTCGAGCGAGGCAGACGAAGCGCTGGCGCAGGCAGCCCCTGCCCATTTCCTTTTTCGGAGCCCCAGGAACAGCCCGACGTTGCAGGCATCGCATTTGGGCGCTTCTCGGGTGCGCCGCCAGGGATCGCGCAGTCGCCACGGGCTACAGTGGAAGCCCATGCCAAGAGACCCTGCTTGCCTCCAGGGTGCCCTGGGTTTCTTGGGTGTCGATGGTTTTGCTGTGGGAAGCATGACGCTTCCACACCAAAAATCCATGGACGTCCTGGGGTCTCAGGGTTGGGTCTCTTGTGGAAGGTTTCTCGTGGTCGAGCTCCTGCTTGTATGCTTCCACTCGGACGCTCACGGACGGAAGCGCCAGGAACTGAGATGAACATGTTGGGATCTCCTCGCCGGATAGGAGGAGGAGGAGGAAGAAGAAGACTAAGACGAATACGAAGAAGAAGAAGCAGAAGAAGAAGAAGAAGAAGAGGAGGAGGAGGAGGAGGAGGGGGAGGGGGAGGGGGAGGAGGAGGGGGAGGAGGAGGAGGAGGAGGAGGAGGAGGAGGAGGAGGAGGAGGCGGAGGGAGGAGGAGGAGGAGGAGGAGGGGAGGGGAGGAGGAGGAGGGGAGGAGGAGGAGGAGGAGGAGGAGGAGGAGGAGGAGGAGGAGGAGGAGGAGGAGGAGGAGGAGGAGCCTCTCACTCGTGCGGCGCGCTCCGCCTCCTCACCGACTTCCCCCGTCCTCCCACGCCCTGCCCATCGCTCCAATGCTGCAAATATCGCCGCGGGCGAAGCCTCCGCCGCCTCCAAGACACCAACGCACACAGCGGGTGCCCGCACGAGAGCGGCGCGGCGGAAGCCGGGGCCGACTGCGCGGGCATCCGCGCGTGAGGTTTGGTCGGGCGTGCCCCTCCACAGGAGGACCATTCAGAAATAGTTGTCACACGTCGTAGTGGCTACGTTTGAGCATTTTTTTGTTGTTGCTATGTTTGATTCTTCGTCCAAAAGCCGCCTGCAGGAGGACACGCCCGACCTAAGCGCACGGCCCCCTTCCGCGTGAGGTCGCGCGTGAGCGCTCTCCTGCCACGGCGGCGGCCCGCGGAGGCGCGCGCCCTCGCGCCGCCGACGCGGGGAGCCCCGCGGCGAGCACTGCCCGCTTGACCACACGCAGGAGGGGAAAAAACACACAGACACAATGACTCGTCGATCCCCCAGACAGTATGGGGGAATATGGGAATTGGGCGGGCAGACAAGAACCCTGAAAATACAGGAAAATATGGGGAATCGGTTTATTGGTGTGTATTTATTATTTGTGTGTCCTTGGGCCCCTTGACACACGTAGGGGTGACCCTTCGACGGAGTGACCTTTGGTGCGGGCCCACGGGGGTCCCCCGATCGCCGACCGCGAGGCGGCCGGGGTGTCTGGCACGCTCGTGTCTGGTCCCCCTTTGTCCCCCCTCCCGCGCGCCGGCCACCCCGCCTCGCGGTGCCCCTGCATCCCTGCCACGCTGGAGCGCATTGCCCCGCCTCGCTGCCGACGGACAACGTGGCTCTGGCCCCCCCGCGGCCCCCACGGAGCCGCGCACCAAAGGTCGCTCCGTTGCCCAGGGTCGCTTCTGGCGTGCCGACCTGGCCCGTGCCGACTTGGCCGTGACGTCTGGGCCCCGAGGGCTCGCGGGGCCGAGCCCGGCTCCGAGGCGCGCCTCCCGAGCAGCGGCCTCCGTCGTCGGACGTGGTCGTCGTCGTCGCCGTCGTCGCCGTCGTCGTCGTCGTCGTCGTCGTCGTCGTCGTCGTCGTCCTCGTCGTCGTCGCCCTCGTCGTCGTCGCCGTCGTCGTCCTCGCGGGAGGTGCGGAGCTGCGTGGGCTCCGCGGCTGGCCTCGGCCCCGGCCGCGCGCGGGGCCCCTGCCCGGCGCCGAGGGGCGCCTCGCCCGAGCAGGTGGAGCGCTTCGTGGGCGCGGTGGAGCGGCTGTGGCACCAGAAGGGCCAGACGCTCCTCGAGGAGCAGACCATGGGGACGACCGACATGGGTACGGAAAGAATGGGCACAAAGACCAACAGCAGTTCTTGCTCATTTTGAGCCGGATTCGCTGTCGGCGCAGCCGCGGCCTGTGCCCATTGGAGACAGAAGGCCGCCTGCCCAACAGCGGCCACTGTTGGTTCGGGACAACATTTGCTGTTGGCCATTGTGCCCATTGTTTCCGTGTCCATTTCGGGCGTCCAAAGACCAGGGGAGGAGTCGAGCAGTGGCGAAGCGTCCTGGCCTACCTTTCTAGGCCTGGCACGACATCTCGAATCACGCAAGCCATGTGCTTAGAACACGAAGCCGACGTATTGGAACAGGACGGTCGCAGCCAAAATTGCTCTAGTAATATCTCGTGCAGGCCACAGCAGGTTTTTGGCTTGCACGACATGTTGTTCGAGCATTTCTGGCTGAGACTGGTTTGTTTTGATGCATCGGCCTTGTGTTCAAAAAAAACATGTTGTATCAGAGCATTCGCTTGTTCTGCGAGCATCTCGTGGTAGGCCAATCGTCAGGAGGGAAAGACGCACACACAGACACAATGAATCGTCGATTCCCCAGAAAACATGGGCAAACATGGGAATTGGGGGGGAAGAGGCAAACCCCAAGCAACTATGGGAAACTATAGGGGGATCCTTCTGGTTGTGCCTATGTTTTCTTTGTGTGTCCCAGGGCCCCCTCCGTAGAGAAAGGCCAGGACGGTCGGCCACTGCTCAGAGGGACAGGGCCGTGCCCATGCCGCTCCGCTCCTCCAGGAGGGCCCCCCGCCGCCACGGCCGGATTCTCGCCTCTCGGGGAGGCTGGCCCGGGCGCGCCCTTTGGCGAGGTCCGGGGAGCCGCGGGATGGGCATGTTCTCGGGGACGGCAGAGGCCGAGCAGTTTCTTTTTTTGATGGAGGGCAAAGGGTGAAATCCGACATGCCGTGTCGATGGATTTTCGAGGCTTGAATCTGCTAGCGGTGGATCGCAGGACGGATGGGTTTTCGAGGTGCAGAAGCCCATATGGATTTCACCCGGAGCCCTCCACCCCAAGAAAATGCTCAGAAAGAAGGGGGTGATGACTAGGGTGGTGGTGGACATCATGGCGGGTCGCATGATATCTCTCAAGATATCCTGGCGCCACTTCCTATTCAAGGAGTCCTGCCGCCGGCCATGATGTGCGCGCCCCCTCTCTTGGACCCCCCGGGCCCCCCCTCCTGGACGCCTCCGTTTTTTTTTGCCTCCAGGAGAGGCCATGGTCAACGACGCGGTCAGAGTCAACGTTTTGGGGTCTTTTCCTGGGACCCACATCGTGAATCTTCTCGAGGCTCCAGCTGGGCTCTGGCTCGACCCCAGCTCGGCTCCACTTTGGCTCGAGCTCGGCTCAAGTGGCCTGACGTTCGATGCAGCATCGACGCATCAGTGGAGCGAGGACTTCCAGGCAGCTCCCCGGAGCGAGCGACCGAGCAGGGGCAGGTGGATGAGAAGGAGGAGAAGAAGGAGGAGGAAGAGGAGGAGAGGAGGAGGAGGGGGAGGCGGAGGAGGAGGAGGCGAAGGAGGAGGAGGAGGAGGACGAGGAGGCGGAGGGGGGAGGGAGGAGGAGGCGGAGGAGGAGGAGAGGGGAGGAGGAGGGGAGGCGGAGGAGGGGAGGGAGGAGGTGGGAGGAGGGGGAGGAGGAGGAGGAGGAGGAGGAGGCGGAGGAGGAGGAGGAGGAGGGGAGGATGAGAGGAGGATGAAGAGGAGGGAGGAGGAGGTAGGAGGAGGAGGAGGAGGAGGAGGAGGAGGAGAGAGGAGAGGAAGAGGCGGAGGAGGAGGGGGGAGGAGGAGGAAAACGGAGGTGGAGGGGAGGAGGAGGAGGAGGAGAGGAGGAGGAGGAGTCGGAGGACGAGTCGGAGAGGAGAGGGGAGGAGGAGGGGGAGAAGGAGGAGGAGGAGGCGTGAGGAGGTGAGGAGGGCGAGGAGGCGCAGGAGGAGGAGGAGGAGGAGGAGGAGAAGGAAGTAAAGGGGGAGGGTTGACGAGAAGGGCGAGCGTCCAAGCAGGGGAGAAGGGGGTAGACTGTGGTCCAGGGCGGCCCAGCTGACCCAGCGCAGGCCGAGCCCCCGTTCCTCCAGCGAGTCCCCTCGCCTGGCGCCCCGAGGCGCGGGCAGGTCTGGCGGCAGGGCCGTCGAGGGCGAGGGGGGCTGTGACGGAAGGGGTTCGTCGCCTCCTCCTCCTCCTCCTCCTCCCCTCCTCTCTCCTCTCTCTCACCTCCTCCTCCTCCTCCTCTCTCCTCCTCCATCCGTCTTCCTCCGCCTCCTCCTCCTCCTCCTCCTCCTCCTCCCATTGCTCCATTACATTTCCTTATACATAACTTCTCCCAGTCGCACCTCGATTCTAGTGTTTTAGGGCGGGGCGGGCGTTTCGCATGAGACTTCCTCACCATTTCTGCTTCTGGAGCTTAAGAGGTGGCAACAGTTTCACAGATGGAGGGCGGTTGGCTTTCAAAATGTGGCTCTCGCCTCAGCGCCGCGCACATTTGTTTTAAACACCTACAAGAACTTCACTGATTGAGGGCGGGTGGTTTTCAACATGTGGCTCTCGCCTTCGCGCCGCGCACATTCGCTTTAAACCTTGCAAGAGCTTCACGGATTGAGGGCGGGTGGTTTTCAAAGTGTGGTTTTCGCTTCAGCGCCGCGCACATGTGTTCTAAACACTTGCAAGAGTTTCACGGATTGAGGGCGGTTGGTTTTCAAGATGTGGTTCTCGCCTTCGCGCCGCGCACAGTCGCTTTAAACCTTGCACGAGCTTCACGGATTGAGGGCAGATGGTTTTCAACATGTGGTTCTCGCCGTAGCGCCGCCCTCATTCGCTTCAAACGTTCGCAAGATTTTCAAGGATTGGGGGCTCCTTTTCAGTATGTGGCTCTCGCCTTAGCTCCGCGCACATCTTCTCATACAATGTGGAAGAGTTTCACGGACTCCTATGACCAGCGTGCCAGAAAAAAAGTGTTTCAGAAGGATTCAGGGTTATGCGGGTGCAACAATGATGTTGATACGCGGTATTGAAGTCCCAGAGAAGGCATTATGTCACGACCCCGGATCGTCAAGACGGAACAGTCAGGTTAAGATTTGGCGTTGACATCCCGAGGACAATGTTTTGGCATGCTTCAGGGTCTACGAGGCAGTTCCCTCAGTGGAAAGAAACCTTTGTAGAGGCATATGAAGTGGGAGCTTGGAGGGAGGGTGAAGTCCAACATCGTTGATGACTCTTTGGTTTACACTGGTCCTCCTCCTCCTCCTCCTCCTCTTCCTCCTCCGCTCCCGCCTCCTCCTCCGCCTCCTCCTCCTCCGCCTCCTCCTCCTCCTCCGCTCCCTCCTCCTCCGCCTCCTCCTCCTCTTCCTCCTCCTCCTCCTCCTCCTCCGCCTCCTCGTCCTCCCTTTCCTCCTCCTCCTCCTCCTCCTCCTCCTCCTCCTCCTCCTCCTCTTCTGGAAGGGGCTCGTCACTGAAGGGGTCGGCGAGGCCGCGCCCGAGGCTGGCCCCTTGGGGCCGGGGGGGGGGAGCACCGACCCCCAACCGTCTATTTCTCGCCCATCGGGGCTCGGGCCCTCCCGATTTGGCCAGGGCCCGGGGTGTCCATCCGTCCATCAGCCTGCGCTTGTCGAGCGCGTTCGGGGGGGGGCTTGGGTCATCTCGGGCTGCAGCCGGAGAGCCGAGTGATGAGCCGAGAGCCAAGGCTGCAGCCGGAGAGCCGAGTGATGAGCCGAGAGCCAAGGGGCAACCTCAGGGGGGGATATGCTCAGAGGTGACGCATCGACCCCCATTCGCCCATTCATCGGCGATGTCACCCCGATAGCCCACACCACCCATGAACGAGCGGTTTCGCCATCTGGGCTCGTGTCTGATCCATCGACGATGTCTCGTCTGTTTGAGGTTCTCCAGCCTGAACCAATCCCCCTCTCTTCCCGTTCGACCCCGCTCAGAGGAGCTGCGCGGCAACCTGCGACAGGCGGGAACCATTTCGATCCGATCGATCCGACTCGATATCGATCTCATCTGACCGCATCCGACTCGATCCCGATATTTCCGACGATCCGATGCGGCCTTTGCATGGCGTTGTTGTTGCATCGTGGCGCGGCCGGTCCGATTCGATTCTGACTCCGTGCAGATGCAGCCCCAGACATCCTCCGATCTGACTCTGTCAATCCGCGGTCCCGGGGGCCCCGACCGCTTCCCCGGGGCCAGCTCCTCGTCCTGGAGCCGCGTTGGATGGCCCCACGGGGCCCGAGCAAGGACCCCCGGGGAGCCCCCTCGTGAGGGCAGCTCACACCCAGGTCGACGAAAGAAGCACACCGTCGGAGGGCCGGGGCCCGGTCCGAGGCACCTGTCGTGATGATTCTCGATCCGCCGGCCCCGTCCGGCGCTGGCGGGCGGTGCCCGCCAGGCGAGCGGGCGGTGCGCGGCAGCGAGCAGCGGCGGGGGCGGCCCGGGGCGCTGCGTCGAGCCGCTGCAGCTGGAGACGCTCGCGGAGGCCTGCCAGAAGGCGCGGGAGGCGCACACGCGCAGGCCCCTCCGCCTCCTCCTCCGCCTCCTCCTCCGCCTCCTCCTCCGCCTCCTCCTCATCATCATCATCCTCCGCCGCCTCCTCGTCCTCCTTCTCCTCCTCCTCCTTTCCCTCCTCCCTTTCCTCCTCCTTTTCCTCCTCCTCCTCCTCCTCCTCCTCCTTTTCCTCCTCCTCCTCCTCCTCCTCCTCGTGCTCCTCCTCGACACGCGGGAGGCCCCTGAACATGGACTACCAGGGCCACCTCCTCGCCATCGCGGGGGAGGGCCGGCCGAGGCGGCGTCGGCGGTCCCGGGCGTGCGGTGGAGGCGCTGAGATCGTGAGGGCGGTTAGGGCTCGGGTTAGGTCGGGCCTGTCCCCCTACAGGGGGATTTCGACGAAAAATAAAGATACTGCAAAAATGCCCTAAAATTAGCAACAAATGCTCCAACAATGGTCCCCATAACATTTTTGGAGGATTGTTTGATTATTTTCGGTGTATTTTTCATGTTTTCGTCGGAAATCCCCCTGTAGGGGGACAGGCCCGACTTACCTCTGGCTCTCGGGCCAGAGGGCCCCTTGGCTCCTGAAGCTGCGTTCCCTGCGATGGCACGCTGGCCGTCTTTGTCGTCCGCTGCGGGCCTCTGGGAGGCCTCGCGGCTCCATTTGTTGCTGTTGTTGTTGTTGTTGTTGTTGTTGTTGGTGGTGGTGGTGGTGGTGGTGGTGGTGGTGTTGTTGTTGTTGCTGTTGTTGTTGTTGCTGTTGTTGTTGTTGCTGTTGCTGTTACTGTTGTCGAGCTCGCATTCCTGAAAAATAAGTATTGTTGATTCCCCCCGCCCGGTGCACATTGTTTTTGTGTCAATTGAAGTGCCCCTCCCGGGGCTCGCTTCCTATTTTCTTTATCAGGGAAAGTCTTGAGGCTCAAACTGTATCGTTTGCCCCCGGTTTACCACAACAACGGCTCTCGCCGGATGTTTCTTCGCAATTTATTGAAGAATCGCGCTCTCGCTTTGGACTTCCTGGCAATTTACCACCGCATCGCGGCTCCCGCCGGATATTTCCTCACAATTTATTTCAGAATCGCGTTCTCGCTTGGTACTTCCTTTCAACTTGCCACCGGACCGCTTCGCTGGGTTTTTTCTCACAATCTATTCAGATGCCGGTCCTCGACACTCAGGAATCACGCTCCCGCTGCATATTGCCTGGCGGTTCAAGCAGGACTCACGTTTCAACGACCCACCCGTCGGGGCCTGCTCGCCCGAGCAGCCCGTTAATGACTGCAGTAGCCGCTCGCTGCCCTTCGCCCGCCTTCGCTCGCTGCCCTTCCTGGCCCCGTTGCTGCCCTCAGTGGCCCTGTCGCTGCCCTTTGCGGCCCCGCATTATATGCCCTTCGTGGCCCCCGCTCGCACGCGCCCGTCGTGGCCCCATACGCATGCCCTTCGTAGCCCCGCTGTGGCCCTTCCTGGCCCCGTCGCTGCCCTTCGTGGCCTCTTTGCTGCTCTCAGTGGCCCCGCTGTCGCCCTTTGTGGCCCCGTATACGAATGCTTGTCGTGGCCCCCGCTCGCTCGCGCCCGTCGTGGCCCCATATGCATGCCCTTCGTGGCCCCGCTGTCGCCCTTTGTGGCCCCCTCGCTGCCCTTCGTGGCCCCGGTGCTGCCCTCAGCGGCCCCGTCGCTGCCCTCTGCGGCCTCGGATTTTATGCCCTTCGTGGCCCACGCTGGCTTTTCTCACGATTTACTTGAGAATCGCGCTATCGCTCGAGACTTCCTCGCGATTCATGCAAGACCCACGCTGCAGCAACCGGCCTGCGCCACCTCGTCGCCTGGGCCCGCATTCCCGACCTGCCCGCTATGGGTCTGCCCACCCGATCTGGCCGTCTGGTTCTACCACTTGTTTTCTGCTCCTTGCCCCCCTCCTGCTAATTTCTCGCGTGCTCCATTCTTCTCCCCCCCTTCCACCCGTCCTCTCTTCCCTTGTTTGAGGGACTCAACTAAATACACGTGGCATGTAAGGAAGATATACCCCCAAGGGGGTACGATCGAAGACGACGAGGGCGGGTACCGAGGGTTTGGGATATACGTATTGATTGGCACGTGGGCAGATAGGGGCGACCTGTCTTTAATTTATTGTTGTTGTTGTTGCTGCTGTTGCTGTCGCTGTTGCGGTTGCTGTTGTTGTTGTTGTTGGTGGTGGTGGTGGTGGTGGTGGTGGTGGTGGTGTTGCTGCTGCTGCTGCTGTCTGTTGTTGGTGTTGTTGTTGCTGAATATTCATTTCTAAAAAATACTTATTGTTGATCTCCGGGAACGGTTACGCGCGCTCTCGCCTCGACGCCAGCTACATTTTTGTTTCCAGAACGAGGCTCCTGCTCGAGCGTTGGCTTGACCCTAAATGTGCGCCCTTGGAGGCCCACCGAAAACAACAACGGCTCCCGCTCGATACTTCCTTACACTTTACCCCGCGACACCCTGGCCAGAGAGGCCCCCCAATTTAGGAACGGCGCTCTCGCTCGAGACTTCCTCGCACTTCGGCGGAGGCCCAGCCACGACGACAAGGGCTCCTGCTCGATACTTCCTCACGATTTGCTCCGAGAGCCCTTGGCCAAGAAGACCCCCGAACTCAGGAACGGCGCTTTCGCTCGAGACTTACCCCGTAATTCAGGCAAGTTGGTGGAGGCCCGGACACGGCGACAAGGGCTCCCGTGCCCCATATTTCTCCAAAAGTATTCCGAGAGCCCCTGGCAAGAGAGGCCCCCGAACTCAGGAACAGCGCTCTCTCGAGAGACTTTTTCGCACTTCAGTCAGTGGCTGACAAGGAAGAGATTCCCCCCGAAAGATCGAAGACGAAGTGGGCGGGTATCGAGGGTTGTGGTATACGGAATGCAGGACACGCGTGCCAGTAAGAGCGAATAGTCTTAAAATGATTGATGTTGGATGTTGGTGTTGGTGTTGGTTTTGTGTTGTCGTCGTCGTCGTCGTCGTCGTCGTCGTCGTCGTCGTTGTCGTTGTTGTTGTTGTTGTTGTTGTTGTTGTTGTTGTTGTTGTTGTTGTTGTTGTTGTTGTTGTTGTTGTTGTTGTTGGAACATTATTCTTCTAAAGAATAATTATTGTTGGGACCCCTGGTGCACGACCCCCCCGCCGCGCCTAGGCCGCAGCCACATTTTCATCATTTTCGTGAGGAAGTCTCAGGCAAAACGGGTTGGTCCGGATCCGGTTGTTTTGTTACGATCCGTTTTCCCTTGCAAAAAATAAGCTAAAGTGGACATTTCTTGTTCTAACATAACCAAACTTCAAGAATCCCTTGCAAAAAATAAGGTAAAGTGGACATTCGCGCGCGCAAGACGAAATCCTTCCAAAACCTTAGTTTTCGTAGCGATTTTAACATAAAAACATCAAAAAAACAATGGTTTTTCAAAAAAAAATGTCAAAATTTCATCCCGCGCGCTCTTGCGGATTCGTAGGAAACCCAACACTTTTTAAACATTTCTGTCAAACGGGCTTTTGCGAGCAACTTTTTCGAACTTCTGCAACAACGGTTGCGCACCTGCCAGGGCCATCATCCCTGTCAAATATACCATGCGGGACACATTCGTTTTTTCTTCGCGCGCGCACGCCGTCGTCGTCGGCCGCGGGGCCCTGAATAGTAGCCACGGTCGTCCGCATGCCACGAAGTGAAGTGTCCGAACGTCATAGGGCGGGAAGCTGGGTGTGGGTGGTGGCGAAGAGTCGTTTGGAAATTTGGTAGAGCTTGAACCGGCCCCCCCACAAAGTGGGGGTATTGCCCGCCTCCTATGAAAACCCTGGCACTGGTGAGAACGGAGTGTCCCCACGTGCTAGTAATTGTTGTTGTTGTTGTTGTTGTTGTTGTTGTTGTTGTTGTTGTTGTTGTTGTTGTTGTTGTTGTTGTTGTTGTTGTTGTCAGTGTTGTCATTGTTGTCATTGTTGTCATTGTTGTCATTGTCATTGTCATTGTCATTGTCATTGTTGTTGATATTGTTGTTGTTGCTGTTGTTGTTGCTGTTTTTTATGGGTCCGCCCCGAGAGACGGCGGCCAGGCTGGACCGATCTTTGGGGCGGCTCCGGCCCCCGTCAGGGAGGGAGGAAAGGGGCCGGAGTCGACCCCACTGCGACGCTTGGGCGGCTCAAGGCTGGACCGCGTTTGAGGCGGCTCTCCCGCCCCGCCCCTGTCAGGGAGGGAAAGAGGGGCGTGGGCCTGGGCCTCCCAGAGGGGGTTCGGAGCACGTGGGGTCGGAGGTTCGTGCCGCATCAGCGATGCACCGGCGATGCACCCGCGATGCATCGGCGACGCATCGGCGACGTCGCCGTGAAGCACACCGGGCTCCGCGCCGAGCCGCAGCAGCGGCCGCAAGCGACTCCACTGCGGCGTCTGGGCGGCTCCAGGCCGGGCCCAGGCTCGAGGCGGCGCTCCCGCCCCGCCCACGCCCGCTCGGGGCCCTCCCGCGGGATCGGGGGTGGACAGACCTCCAGCCCTGACGCGTCGATGAGTGAATTGTCCGTTTCCGGCTCTCGAGCGGGCGCCGCGCCCGTGATTTTCCCAGGCTGGCGCCCGCCAGGTTTGGGCCCGAGGTCGCTTTCACTGAGCCACGTTTTGCTGAAGCTGGCGGCGCGCAAAAGGGGGTAGGGGGAGGGGGGAAGGCTTCTTAGAAGCACCCTGCTTCTTAGACGGCCTCGGCCTTACGTCTACAGAGAAGGCCCGCGCCTTCGAAGCAGCAGGGGCGCTTCTGAGAAGCCTTCCCCCCTCCCCCTACCCCCTTTTGCGCGCCGCCAGCTTCAGCAAAACGCGGTCTCGTGAAAACGACCGCGGGCCCAAACCTGGCGGGCGCCAGCCTGGAAAACCACGGCCGCGGCGCCCGCTTCTAAGAAGCCTCCCCCCCCTCCCCCATACCCCCCCCTCTGCGCGCTGCCGAGCCAAGGGAGGCCCGTCACTCCCCGACGGGGGAGCCCCCGCGGGAGCCTTCCCCCCCCCCCGGAGGCCGGGCCCCCCGCGGCGCGGCGGCGGGAGGCCCTTTTTGGGGGGGAGGCCCCGCGGGGGGGGCGAAGAGGCGCGCCGGGGGGGGGGGGGGGGAGGGCCGCCGCCAGGGCGCGGGGAGCACGGAGGGCCCCGCTCGTCTCGGGGCGGAGGCGTCTGGCTCGGAGGCGAGAGAAGACCAGACGGCAGGAGCCTTCGGTGCCGTCTCTCGTGCATCCTCCGCGTGCGGGTCACGTGTGGAGAATGCAGGGATGTCGTAGAGAACAACACCGAGGAGCTCATGCATACATGTGCTCACAAAGTAACGATGTATGACAAATCCCATACTGTTGAACAATCCGATGTGTAACACGTCTGCCCTGTAAGCTGGCGGCGCTCCGAGCGGATTTCTTGGCTCCGCGCTGTGGCCCCCCTGGCGGCGCCTCCGGCGCCGCCCCCCGGCGCGGGGAGGGGTGGCCCAGCGCAGATCCAAGAACTCCTCGCGGAGCGCAAATAGTTCATGTTCATGCTGTTTTTCCTTCTTCTTTTTCTTTTTCTTCTTCTTCTTCTCATATCGGCGAAGAGCGCTACACGGCGCTGAAGTAGCGCTCAGGCGGCGCCCAGGCAGCGACCACCTTGGCGTCCAGCAGGCGCCACGTGAGGGAGATGCGTCATGCCCGCTCTGCGCCGTGCCTGGGCGCGCCGTTTGGGCGCATGGGGACGGCAAAAAGGCTTCCCTGAGGTGCTTCCTAGCCTTAGCCGGGCGTGTCCCTCCACAGGGGGAGTAGTTATCTTGGCATCGCTCGGACGTGTGTATTTTTTTCTCGGCGAGAGCCATCGAGGACCATCCTGGACCATCGAGCAAACAAAACACGCACGAAACCCAACAATACACGGGAAATGGACGTCCGAGCGACGGCAAGTTATTCCAGCATATTTTACAAGCAGGCAGGTGGACGTTTGTGTGACTACGTCTGATCATTTTCATCACATCTTGTGACTCCTGTTCTCTTTCGTCCACAGTCCGCCCGTATCAGAGCCCCGAATCATCAGGGGCAACTCGGGTCAGGGCTAACTCGGGTTCGTTTTTTCGGGAATCCGACCCCGACTCACCCCGGACCCGAGTCACCCCGGATAACTCGGGCGTCCAGAGCCCCACACCATCAGGGGCAACTCGGGCGCCCAGCTGTATAGGGGGACACGCCCGACCTGGCTCTGGCCGCCGCTGCCTCGGCCGGCCCTCCTCCGGCCATCCTCGCCTGGCTGGCGGGCGCCGTGCGGGGCTGCGACCTCGACCGGCTGTTCGGCTGCGCGGGGCGGCCGGGGAGCCGGGCCTCCGGCGCCAGCGCGGGCGCGGGGCACAACCCGGAGGTGTCTCGGGTCGGGCGAAAGGGGGGGGATTGGGAAAGGGGGGGTTACGAAATCTGCTGCATGCAGCCGGTTTCGGCCTCACCGAGGGGCCCATTCCTCGATGCATGCGCGCCTCCCGACGCCGGGAGGCGCCGGGAAAATCAGCTACGTGAGCTGATTCTCAAACCCCCCCTTTGCTATCCCCCCCTTTCGCCCGACCCGAGAGGTGCTCCGGGCGGCCAGCCTCGCGGCGTGCGCGTGCTTCAGTCAGGCGTCGAGGGGAGGAACGTTCGACAGGCCAGCCACAACTGGGGGAGCTGTGTTCCTTACCCCCCTGGGGGGGCCATCGATTTCGACACCCCTCTCGAGAGATCGTGGATGCGATGGGTTCCCCCAGGGGGGTAAGGACCACAGCTCCCCCAGTCATGGCTGGTCGGTTCGATGTCTGGTCCCAGGAGCCTGGCACGCAGAGGCAGCGACATGGGATCAGCTGTCCTGCATGTCGAAGCGCCAAGTGTGGCCCTTCCTCCGACTCCGAGTTTCTGAAGAAGCGTTGGGGGGGCGTCACCCCCGCCGACAGCCCCACATCGACCCCCTGTCGCGGGCAGCCACCGCGCGCCGAAGGCGCTCCGACCCCCGTCGCGGCGCGATAACGAGGCGAGGTTGAGCCCCGTCGGGGGTACGCCCCCACGCTCATTAAGAAACCCATCGTAACTAGCCATCGTCGCTCTTCCTGTTCCCCCTCCCCCGCGTCCTTTGGGGTTCGGCTGGGCCAGCTGGACACTGGCGCCTGCCCCCCGTCCTCCTCGTCTCCCTTGTGAGGGGTCGAATCCAGTTCAACTCTAGTCCCAGATGTGTTCCAGATTTGGTCCAAACCAGGCCCCAAGCTGACAGCGCGAGGGGCCACGGAGGCTCTCATGGAACAGGCACCAAAGCTGTCTCGGAATCTCGTCGACGCCGATCTCGGCCGCGGTCCATGCCAGCCGTCGCCGGCTCGCGGGGAGGATGCACGAAAATTGGTGCTGGCCAAGATGGACGATGACGAAGATCTGCACCGACGTTCCCGCGTTCATTCAGTTTTTGTCAGGCTTGCTGTGTTCGTTCCCTCCGCAGGTGGACGACCTCGACTCGAGGTCGGGGAGGGATGCACTCGAGGGCCTCCAGGTCTGGGTGAAGTGGCTGTGCTTCCTGGCTGCCTCCGCCAGGAGACTCGGAGGGAAAACACACATACTGATGCCACTGCTGCTCGTCCTGGAGGGCCCTCGTCGCCACGGCTGCATTCTCCTCGAGATCCTGGTCAGACTGCACCCTTGGGAGAGGTCTGGGGGGTCGCGTCTCACGAAGGCATCTGGACACCACCTTTGTGGGCCCCGGAAACGGCAGGGCCGTTTTTTTACCGTTTCCCAAAAATGCCCCTTGAAAATGGAAACGGCAAAAAAAAAGGCGACCGGAAACGGCACAAAAACGGCTCCAGGATTGGAACCGGAGCCGGAACCGGTCAAACAATAGCGACCGGAAACGGCGAAAAAACGGCCCTGGAACCGGCAAAAAAACGACAAGGAACCGGTAAAAAAACGGCCCTGTCGTTTCCAGGGCTCACTAAGGGCACCACCACCACCGTGCCAGGCCAGGGCTATCAAGGGCCCTAGGATGGTGTCTAGGACCCTCCTGGCCTCGGCCCAGAGGGCGTGCTCACCATGCCAGGGCCAGGATAGCCCTGGTTTGCCACGGTAGCGGTGTATATAGATGCTTTCTCCGGGGGAACGTAAGACTCGAGTAAACCAGAACTCGGGTTTGCCGACGATTTTTGACGAGCGCTTCCTGGATTCTGTTGGTCCCGTTTTCGTGGGATGTTTGCAGCGGGAGCTCGCATCAAATTTCAGGTTGGGCCTCGCCATTTTTATCATGGCCCCGTCAGGCCACTCCGAGTCCCCCGCACCCGAGTCTCACGTCTCTCCGATTTTCTGCGTCTGGCGCTATCGGTGCCTCGCGGTTCCGCCAGGACTCTCGAGGCGCCCATGACGGTCACCTGCGCCCTCTGGGACCTCCCCGAGGAGGCGCTGCGCGAGCTGCGAGGCAGGGCGGCCGGGGACCCGCTCTTCTGGGCCGCCCCCGTCGTCGCCACGGACGCCGTCGCCCGCCGCGACCCGGCGCCCGAGCCTGGCGAGCCCAGCGCGGTGATCACGATCTCCGGCGTGACGCGGGCGCTCCCGCTGTTCGAGATGAGCTCGTCGCCGGAGGTCGAGGGACCGAACCCGGCCGAAGCGTCGTTGACTTCCGGAGGGCCGCGCGGATCTTTGGGGTCGCCGCTGGATTCCCCCCTCCCTGATTAGCGTCAGGTCGGGCACGTCCTTCTTCAAACACGGAGGGCATGCCCGACCTGAGCCTATAGGCTATAGGCTTAGGTCGGTGCTGGTGCGGATGCTGTATGTATGCTATAGACTATACACGCCTATAGGCTATACACGCCTATAGGCTATACACGCCTATAGGCTATAGGCTATATGCCCGGCCTATAGGCCTCCTGGTGCGCTCAGCGCGCTATAGGCTATAGCGCTCTGAACGCACCAGGAGCGGCTCCAGGGCGCTGCCCGGAGGCCAGCGCCGACCCCGCAGCTCCGCGCGGACCTCCGAGAAGGCGTCTGCCCCTGCGAGGGGCGGGGATCTTTGTGCACGGCCAGCGCCCAGGGGCCTGGCATCGCTCGGACGTGTGCAGTTTTCCTTCGTCGATGACCATCGGCGAAAGAACCACGCACGAAACCGACAAAAAATCAGGAAATGGACGTCCGAGCGACGGCAAGGGGGTGGTCGCTCTGCGAGGGCCTCGGCAGGCGGTGGGTCGTTTACGTCTGCGTGCCCCCGCCGGGGGCCGAGCTCGTTCCCCAGCTCCCTTTGCCTACTAGCGAGAGGTCCCGCCTGCAGATGGGTCTCCCGGGCGGCGGTCAGGCGTTGAGCTCCAGTCCCTTCGGATCGCAGGCGGTGTTTCCGTCCCACCCCCAACTTTTCTGCGAAAAATGGAGCGGCCAAGAGATGGAGGGGAACCCTCGGATACACCCCTGAGGGGGCCGTTCGGACGCACCTTTCTCGAGGATGGACGCCCCCCCCCGTTGTATCCCAGGGTTGGGCCGCCAATTTCTGGTCCACTCGGAAACTCTACGAGGCCCGTGTCAGGGGTCGACCTATCCCCTGTTATCTGAGAGGAGCGGTGGAGGGTTTCCCCGAAAGGCTTAGGCGACCCGTGCTCCTCCTCCTCCTCCTCCTCCTCCTCCTCCTCCGCCTCCTCCTCCTCCTCTTCATCCTCCTCCCTGATTCTCCTCCTCCATCTCCTCCTCCCCCTCCCCCTCCTCCACCTCCTTTTCCTCCTCCACGCATCCTCGGGTCGCCTACGGCCCCGGGGGAAACCGTGCAAGGAGCGGGAGTGGCTCCTGCCGCCGTTCGCCGCGCTCCGCGTGGAGCGCGCCGTGTGCGGCGAGGTGCTGCGGCTGGAGGCCGCCTGCGCCGGCTGCGCCCTCGGCGGGAGCCTGCTGCGGCAGGCGCCGCGGGCGGCCAAGAGGGGGGTTGATGGCCAGGGGGGGGGGGACATCGTGGCGGGGGCCATGAGATCCCCCAGATTTCATGGCGCCTCTTCTTATTTCGAAGCGTCCCAGCCCCCCCCCCTGGGCCGCGCACGTGCCGCCGGCCGCGATTTGCGCCTCCCCCCTCTTGGACGCCCTCTTGGACGCCCCGAAGGCGGAGCAGGACTTCTGCCAGAGCTCCGAGGACCTGAGCGTGGTGCAGGCCAGGATGGAGAGGGAGCGCGCCGCCCAGAAGGCTCGGCTATACGCGCAAGTCGAGCATCGGGGAACAAGCAGTGACATAGGGGGGGGGGGGGTAGGCGTAGGGGGAGATGCATCGACCCCCAGTCGCCCATTGATCGCCGTAGGTCAGAGCCCCGAATCATCAGGGGTAACTCGGGTCAGGGCTAACTCGGGTTCGTTTTTCGGGAATCCGAACCCGAGTTACCCCGGACCCGAGTTACCCCGGATAATTCGGGCATCCAGAGCCCCACATCATCAGGGGTAACTCGGGTCAGGGCTAACTCGTTTTTTTTCGGGAATCCGAACCCGAGTTACCCCGGACCCGAGTTACCCTGGATAACTCGGGCGCCCAAGTAGGGGGAGATGCATCGACCCCCAGTCGCCCATTGATCGCCGTAGGGCCCGATGGCCGCAGCCTGCACGGGAAGGTGCGGATTCGCCATCGGGGGCCTGTCGCCGAGCTATCGGCGATGTATCGCCGATTCCCGGTCGATGGCATCCCCCCCTTTGCCTAATTATCTCCCCCCCTATCATTGCCCCTCAGTCAGGCAGTTGCGAAGCGTCCTGGCTTGCCTAAGGAGTCCCACCGGAGACTGCTCTGAGAACCTTATGTGGCCTGCACGGGGTGTTCTGAGGCAGTTCTGGTTGAGACTGTCTTGTTCAAATTCACCAGGTTTCTCTTCTAAGAGCATCGTAGCATCGTCTTTCTTTTGAGTACGATCTGTGGTTTTAAGAAAATTTCGTGGTGGGCCTAAAGGGATGCTGGGACGCTTGGTCCCTGCTCATGCAAGCGTGGCCCTTCGCCACAGCGACCTCTTTGATGCGCGGCCTTCGATGAGCCAGGTGGAGCAGACCGAGGCAGACTGTCGCACCGCACTCCACGATTGATACTCCGCGCATCAAAGGCTGCTCTTGCCTAGGGTTCAGTCGGGCGTGTCCCTCTACAGGGGGAATGTTCAAGAATAGTATGAAATAGTATGGGGGCGATGTTCTCCTTGATTTTTTTCATATTTCTGGATCTTTCTCTCCAGCACCCACATGTAGGGGGACATGCCCGACCCAAGCCTATAGGGCCACTCTTGCGTGTAGCCGACAGGCGAAGCTGGACGAGGCCCCCGGGGAAGCACAAGCTGCACACTCTATATACGCTTCTGCAGGTCCGCTCGGATCTCTTGGGTCGGCGCTGTACCCCGCTGGCCGCGCCTCCAGCGCCGACGCCGACCCGGGAGACCCGCGCGGGCCTCGGGAAGTGTGTGTGTTGCTTATAAGCTACCGCTCCTTCGGGTCAGGCCCGGCAGAAGGTCCGGTCCGCCGTCAAGGCTATCCGGCGCGCGGCTGGCTGCTCGTCGGTGCGGTCGTCGATGGTGCAGCCGCGCGAGCTGATGCCGCAGCCAGAGCCCCTGATCTTCCACTGACGGGCTGCGTCGCGTTGCTGTTTTTCGTTGTGTTAGCTGGGACAGCGGTCGCTGGCGGCAGCAGCCTTCGCCCTCCCATCCGTCGGCCCTCCGGCGTGCTCGCCTCCCTGGCTCACCCGTCCGAGTGCACGCCGGCGTGGAAGGTCGGTATTCCTGCACTCCCAGATCCCAATCTGCTTCAAGCGCCTTCCTTCTTCAGGGGCCGAGATACTTTTGCTGTGCTTTGTTAGTCTCAGGGAGGGCCTGAACCCAACCTGCTTTGACCGCCTTCCTACTTCATGCGTTTACCTACTGCTTCCGGCCGACGTGTATGGCCTTCGCCCCACCCTGCCACCGCGCCTGGCAGGGCTGGACCTAAACGCTGTTTTGCTGGGCTTCGAGGTACAGCAAAAGAGGCAGAGCCGAACGAAAGCACAAAACGAACAAAGACGAACAACAGGTTTTAGATCCAACCCTGGTGCCTGGGCTGTAGGTCAGAGGCCTATTCTGATGCGTTTTGGGATCTTTCTTAGGAGGCCTCTCGGAGGCCTCCTGGAGGCGGAGGAGGAGGGGGAGGAGGCGGAGGAGGAGGGGGAGGAGGGGGAGGAGGGGGAGGAGGGTGTGGCCAACCTACTTTGTCCGCTTTCTACTTCATGTGTTTACCTACTCCTTCCGGCCGACGTGGATTGCTTTCGGCCCCACCCTGCCACCGCGCTTGGGCTGTAGGTGAGAGGCCTCTTCCTGAGGATGCCCCTCTTAGGAGGAGGAGGAGGAGGATGAGGAGGAGGAGGAGGAGGAGGAGGAGGAGGAGGAGGAGGAGGAGGAGGAGGAGGAGGAGGAGGAGGAGGAGGAGGAGGAGGAGAGAAGGTGGAGGAGGAGGAGGTGGAGGAGGAGGGAGGAGGACGGAGGAGGACCGAGGAGGGAGGAGGAGGGAGGAGGAGGGAGGAGGAGGGAGGAGGCCTCTTAGAGGCGATTACGGTGTGTTTCTGGGCCTCTCGGGGTCCCTCGAGGGCCTCTTCGGGGCCTCTGGGGGGCCCCCCTGGGGCTTCTTGGGGGGGCACTCGGAGGCCTGCTGGCGGTCTCGGGGGTCCACTTGGGTTATGGTGTTCCAACCACCTTTAGCCTCGATCACCAAAAAAAAGCAAAAACGCCAAGCACCAGCAGAGTACCGAAGCTGGAGGGTTTTCGCGTGTGGGGCTTTGGGAGGCGATACTCGTTCGGAAGATTTTCGATACTTTTCTGGGTCCTCGTAATTGTTTCTGCGATTGGAGCAACGTACATCTTGGGTTGGACTGCGCGGCATCTGTACATTTTTAAGTTCCCCCTTGTGTGGCCCTCGCTGTTTCGGGCCGTCTCGGGGGCCATCTTGGGCCGCTCGTGTGCCGTCTGGGGACCCTCTGGGGGGCCTCCCACGCCGTCTTGGAGCGATCTTGGGGGCCTTTGGGGCCGTCTTGGAACGCTGGGGGCCAGAGAAGGCGAGAACACCATGATCTCCTAACATCTTATTGGTTTGAGCTGTGAATGGTTTTGGCCTCCTGGGGGCTCTTATGGGGGACCTCTTTGAGCCCTCTTGGGGCGTCGTTGGGGCCTCTTTGGCCGTCCGGGGGCCGTGCTGGGCGCCTCGGAGAGCTCTCTGGGCGGTCCAGGGCCCTCTTGGCCTGTTTTCGGGCCTTTGTAAGGCCCTCGTGGTTCGTTTTGAACCCTCCGGGGGAGGGTTTCTCCGAAGGGCTTAGGCGACCCATTCTCCTCCTCCTCCTCCTCCTCCTCCTCCTCCTCCTCCTCCTCCTCCTCCTCCTCCTCCTCCTATCCTTATTCCTTATTTGAATATACTCCGACTCCCCCCTCAGGCCGGCAGATAGGGGCCGCATCCGGGTGGTCCCATCCTAACCTATAAAAAACAATACAAAATCAACATTTTTCTTATTTTTTCCTCTCGACATGGACGTCCTGTCGTCCACGGCGATAATCCATTGCAAAAATTACAACAAAGAGCACACGCGCGCGTTCATGTCAGAATCCTACCGAACACCGTGTGTTTGCAAGCATTTCAACATAAAAACATCAAAAACCCAATGCTTTTTCACAACAATTGTACAAATCTCCCGCGCGGGCTCTCTTGCTGAAATCATAGGAAAACCATAGGAATCTTAAGAATTCGGTCAAATCCAGCGATTTCACGTCATCGCGCGGTGCACTCGCGATGCTCTGTCATGCACCCAGGCCGCGAATCCTGTGCAAAAAATACCACAAAGAGCACACTCGCGCGTTCATGTCAGAATCCTACCGAACACCGTGTGTTTGCAAGCATTTCAACATAAAAACATCAAAAACCCAATGCTTTTTCACAAAAATGCTTTGGGGTGTCCTGTCAGACCGTCGGGCTTCCTCCGGCCACCTCTGGCTTCCTGCGGTGTACCGGGCCATTCTCGACTCGTCTGGCAATGCGTGCGCGGCATTCAACACGCGCTCGCCAGTTCCCGTCGGCAACCGCCATCGCGGCCGCATCAGCTGTACCAAACCGGCTGGCCGGTGTGACTTCGGCCCCCCTCAGGCCGGCCGATAGGGGCCGCATCCGGGTGGTCCCATCCTAACCTGTAAAAAACAATACAAAATCAACATTTTCTTATTTTTTCCTCTCGACATGGACGTCCTGTCGTCCACGGCGATAATCCATTGCAAAAAAATACCACAAAGAGCACACGCGCGCGTTCATGTCAGAATCCTACCGAACACCGTGTGTTTGCAAGCATTTCAACATAAAAACATCAAAAACCCAATGCTTTTTACAAAAATTGTACAAATTTCCCGCCCGGGCTCTCTTGCTGAAATCATAGGAAAACCATAGGAATCTTAAGAATTCGGTCAAATCCAGCGATTTCACGTCATCGCGCGGTGCACTCGCGATGCTCTGTCATGCACCCAGGCCGCGAATCCTGTGCAAAAAATACCACAAAGAGCACACTCGCGCGTTCATGTCAGAATCCTACCGAACACCGTGTGTTTGCAAGCATTTCAACATAAAAACATCAAAAACCCAATGCTTTTTCACAAAAATGCTTTGGGGTGTCCTGTCAGACCGTCGGGCTTCCTCCGGCCACCTCTGGCTTCCTGCGGTGTACCGGGCCATTCTCGACTCGTCTGGCAATGCGTGCGCGGCATTCAACACGCGCTCGCCAGTTCCCGTCGGCAACCGCCATCGCGGCCGCATCAGCTGTACCAAACCGGCTGGCCGGTGTGACTTCGGCCCCCAGTTGTGCCAGCTTTGCTTCTTATGTTGTGGGAGGGCGGGTGGGACTGGGCATGCCATGCTTGACTCGCTCGAGCTGGCTAGCTTGACTCCTACTCCTACTCCTCCTCCACCATCTCCTCCTCCCCGTCCTCCACCTCCTCCTCCTCCTCCTCCTCCCCGTCGGGTCGCCTACGGCCCCGGTGGAAACCGTGCACCTCCTGGATCTGGGACAGTGCCATCGCGCCAGCGCGCGCCAAGCCCCAGGAGCGCCCGAGAGCGCCTTGAAGGGCCTGAGACTTCGGGCTGCGGGCACTTCCAGGGGCGGCGAGCGAGGGGGGGGACCTGAGCAGGAGAAGGCCTGCTCAGAAGGTTGGGAAGTCCCCGGCCTTCTGCTGAGAAGTTCTCTGAGCCTTCCCAGAGGACAGAACAAGCTTCTCAGAAGGCGCGAGGACTTCTGAGAGGTCCCACCGCCTTCTGAGAAGGCCTTCTCCCTCTCACCCCCCACCCTCGCTCGCCACCGATTTCAGTAATATCACCATGCTCAATACAGCGAACTCTAAGAGACCTACGTGCTACCGGCACGCCGACAGAGGCAAGGCCACGGGCTACGGCCCAGCACGCCCACCTCCTTTTCACCAACTCCACTTCGTGCGTCGGGGCACGGTGGCGGATCACGCGCAGGCTTGGCACTGCACGGCCGATTTGCTCGTCTCGTCCAGTAAGCCTCAGAGAACACGAGATGGATGAACATCAATTTTCGGATGTCCGCGCGGATTTCTCGCATCGGCGCTAGAAGCCCCTTGCGGCGCCTGCGGGGGGGAGGGGGGTCCAGCTCCAATCGCAGACACCCGCGTGGACCTCCGATAAAGTATGTTTATGCTGGATTTTTGTTCCTCGACAGCTTGTTCGTCTCACCCACCAGGGAGATTGTTCTTATTCTCTGGCGCGTCACGGTCGTCACCCGCCCCTTTTCCCCCGGGTAGCGGTGACGATCGTGCGTAGACGGGGGGGGGATGGGGGCGGGCCCCCCCCCACATGCTGTCGCTCGTGCGCACACCCTGGCGATCGCAGCGCGCCCCTGGCCCCGACGTGCTCGACCCCGCCCAAGCGTTACCTTCGCCCGGGGCCCCACTCCCCCCCCCCTCTCTCGGGTAGCGACTGCTACCGGAGATGAGAGAAGATGCGGGCCCAAATAATATACACCACCGCCACTTTCTTCTCCCCTCCCTCCTCCACCCTCATTTCTCTTTCCTCTTTCCTCGGGAAGAAAGGGGATGAGGGAGGTGGTGGTGGTGTATACCTTTGGGCCCCGTAAAAAGAACAATCTCAAGTCGCTGGTGGCATTGCCACCTTGGCGTCATACGGGCGCGTTCGGTGGCCAGTCAGGGGAGCCTGGTGCACCCTCTTAGTTCCGTCTCTGGCGCCGACTGGCGTCTGCAGCCGGCGAGATAGCGCCGATTTGGCGTCGGGATCTGCGTCTCGCGTCGACTCAGCATCGATTCGCAAGAGCCGGCAGGACGGTGTGGGAGGCTGCCGCGTGTTGCCACCGAAGGTGCGTGAGAGTGTCTCATCCCGGCGGCCTTCTGGCTCGGCCTCCTCCTCCTCCTCCGACCACGCGCGAGCACCAGCCCCCCGATCGTGGGAGCCGGGCCGCAGTCGCTCCAAAAGGAGAAATAGCCCCTGCAAGGCGCCGAGCGGCTGAAGGAGCTCGCATCCTCCGGGCCAGGAGGCGACGACGCCGACGGCAGTGACGAGAACGACGACGACGATGGGGGACGACGACGATGGTAACGGGGCTGAGAACGACGACGACGACGACGAGGACGTTGAAGACAACGGCACCGGCGACGGCGACCACGTTGACGACGCCGATGGCGACGAGCACGTTGACGATGAGGCGGACGACTACGACGACGGCGACGGCGACCACGAGGGCAACGACGACGACAAAGATGACGACCATAATATCATGCGGCCACCAGTATAAGGCATGTTGTGCTGCCGAATTCAATAAAATGAAATGCGCCGCTATCTTGGGCTGTGCCGTGAAGTGTTTTTAGATGCGGTATCATGCAATGCAAGTCTATACTTTATCGGAGCCGTCTTGAAGGCCCTCTTGGGGCCGCCTCGGAGTCCTCTTGGGCCGCCATGGCATCATCCTGGAGGCCTGTGGGGCCATCTTGCAACGATCCTGGGCACATCTTGGGCCGACAGGGAGCCGTTGGAAGGCCGAAAAGAACCATACACCAAAATCTGGCAGAAACCAAAGAGAACGCAATGATTATTTTGACTTCTTCGGGCCCTCCTGGAGGACCTTCCGGAGGCTTCTTGGACCGTCTCGGAAGCCTCTTGCAAGCCTCTTGGGCAGTCTTGGAGGCTTCTTGGGCGAACTTGGAGGCATCTTGAGCCCTGTTGGACCTGCTTGGAGGCCATCTTGGACCTTCTGGGGCGGTCTTGGAGGCCATCTTGGACCATCTTGGCGAACTTGAAGGCCCTCTTGGGGCCGTCCTGTGACTTCAGGGCCGTCACGGTGTCATCTTGGAGGCCTTTGGGGCCAGCTTGGGGCGATCTTGAGAAGCTCTTGGGCCGTTTAGGGGTGTCGGAAGGCTGAAGTGAAGCCACTTCCAGAATCCTTCAAAAACCTTTTGACAATTTGTGATTTGCCCTGATGGGGCCCTCCTGGAGGACCTTCTGAAGGCCTCTTGGGCGGTCTTGGAGACCTTTTGGGGGCCTCTTGGGCCGTCTTGGGCAGTTTGGGGGCCTTTTGGGCCGACTTGAAGGCATCTTGGACCCTCTTTGGCCGTCGTGGAGGCCATCTTGGACCATCTTGGCCGAACCTGGAGGCTATTTTGGGCCACCTTAGCCCTCTTGGAGGTCATCTTTGGGTCATCTCGGACAAGAAAACCGACAGAGTGTGCTTGTTCGGCTGGCTTTCGGGCGACCAGCGCGCTGCGCCGAGGCCCCGGGGGGAGTTCTTCTTGGAAAAGAGCCAGAACCAAACCGTATAGGGTTCACCACGTCGGACGCCCCTGTGCAAGCCAACGGCGGACCTAAGACGCCCACGGCGACTCACCGCCGCCCCCTGCCTTTTAGGAAGCTCCTAGGTGACCGAACGTTGAGGCCAGACCTGCCAAGCTATCGGACCATGTGTTCCCCGAATCGGTTTGGAGAGCCTTGGGGGAACACGTGGGCATCTTCAAAGTCATCTTGGCCGCCTGGAGGCCATTTAAACCCTTTCGGGCCTTCTTGGAGGACGTCTTGGAGGGCTCTTGGGCCGTCTTGGAGGCCATCTTGAGCGTCTTGGTCTTGGGCACTCTTGGGGGCCTCTGGGCGACCTTTTGGAGGCCTCGTGGGGCGTCTCGGAGGCCTCTTGGGCCGTCCTGGAGCCATATTGGGCGCCTTGGGGCGCCTTGGGCCTCCCCTGGGTCGTCTTGGGGGCCCTCCATGGCTCTCGTGGCCCGCCTTGGGGGCGCGCTGGGCCCGAGAAGTCCTGCGACGGGATGCGCAGGAGCCCCAGGGGGGGCACGTGGGCAGCCTCGGTAGATGTGGGAGTTTGGGGTCTCTGGGCCCCTGGAAGACGGGCTGGGTCTCCAGGAACTCCTCCTCCTCCTCCTCCTCCTCCTCCTCCTCCTCCTCCTCCTCCTCCTCCTCCTCCTCCTCCTCCTCCTCCTCCCTCCTCCCCCTCCCCCTCCTCCTCCTCCTCCTCCTCCTCCTCCCCCTCCTCCCTCCTCCCCCTCCCCCTCCTCCCCCTCCTCCCCCTCCTCCCCCAGGCAGAGGACCTGAGCACCCGCCCACTCCGTTCCCGGAGGCACACCGGCGGCTGATCGCACGCCCTGATCCCAGCGTGGACCCCCAGCATCGAGGAGGGCCTCGCGCAGGGACGGGCGAGGCCGTGCGAGCAGATGCAAAGCCTTGTTTCAGAGCGTGAATTACCTACCCCGCTTTCGCTTCCAGGCAAAACCAAGCCATACCATGCGCCTCCTCGTCAAGCGGCCTGACCAGTACAGGCTGCATTTTGGCATAGTTTGGTATCTCTTGGAAGCGAGGGTGGTCAAAAGCGAGGTCGGTTTGTTTCCGCCCTATTGTTGCAGAGCCGTGCAAAAAGGGCACAGAGTGCGGGGCGCAGCAGGCAGGAAGCAGCGCACGCCAGTGCGGGAGGGGAGCCCGTCCGTGGCCACGCGGGAAGCTTCGCAGTGATCCAACGGGGCCAAAGATTTCCAGTGCCACGGGGGTTGCGCGTTGCGTTGGGGCTCTTCGCGTGGCATGGTCCCTTGCGTTTTGTGTTTTCTTCTGTGTGCTGCGGGCCCCTTGGCGGCCGCTCCTGGCTGTCGCCGCTCCGCCCGCCCCTTGGCGGCCGCGCCCTGTCCCTATGTTTGACATCACCTCACCTCGATGCCGATCTCCAGGATTCCCCCAGTTTTTGAGGGCCTACCCCTACGACTGTCCTCGCTTGTTGCTCGCCCATCTCACGGATAGGGGCACGTTCGAGGCCGGTTAATAAGTCCGAGCCCCGAGGAGGCGCGCGTGGGGGCGCGGGGGTGCTGGGGCGCGCGAGGAGACGGTGAGGAACAGAGGAGGAGGAGGATGATCAGGAGGGAAAAAGCACACAGACACAATGAATCGTCGATTCCCCCCCAAAAAAGGAAAATATGGGAAGTGGGGGGGAAGACAAAAAAACCCAAACATATGGGGAAATATGGGGAACCTTTTTAATTTGTGTGTATTTATTCGTGTGTCCCAGGGCCCCTTCAGATGAGGGAGGACGAGGAGGGATGAGGAGGCCCTCGAGCCACGGCTCTGAGATCCAAGGATCCGGGATCTACAACTCTCGTCAAACTTAACCTCAAAAATATCTGACGTGGTTGAACTGCTTGTCGGAAGATCTGGGGCCGAGTATCGATGAGTGCGGGGTACTTGCATGCGCCGCCCCTCCAATGTCGGTCGACGTCAAACTTTCGAGTCAACTTCGGTCAGACTATCTTTGCCCTCGCCCCGACATTGAAGGGGCGGCGTGTCGACATTGAGGGGCGCGCCGAAATCGAAATGACGTGCCTGCAACTGTTGAGGTTAATTTTGACGAGGGTAGTAGGATGTCGAAATCCTTGTGCCTCGGGTCACTCGAGCCTCGAGCCCACCTGGAGCGCCGTGCGCCCTCAGCGGCCAAGGAAGCCTCGGGTGCCTCGACGACCTCGAGTCTTGAGCGTCCTCGAGCGAGGCTCGAGTCGCTTAGTTGTTGTTAAAAGCGCTGGGGGGGTCCGTTTTCCATGTTTCGTTTTTTGTTTTTTGTTCTACGGAACGTTCTAACAACGGCATTTTGGAACGTTGGCGTCAGGCACCAAGCAGTGTGATACTTAAGAACGTATACAAACATATTGAACACCGAAAGAGAACAAGGTGGTGGTCCAAGGACCGCTCTCGGATTTGAAAACGCAGCAAAAACGGTGCCCTAAACGGAAAGAACACGTCGATGTTGAAATCACTGGGAAAGCGCCCCCTAGCGTTTTTTGTTATATCGCCTAAGTTAGGTGCGTCATGCGCGAGAGTTCTTTTGAGCATGAGTTGTTGTTTTCCTTGGCTAGTAGCGTTTACTGCTGCTTTGCAGCGGCCACTGATAGCTAATAGGTATTACTAGGCGCCAGAAGGCGCTAGTAGACGCCAATAGGCGTTAGTAGTCGTTGATGGGGACACGGATAGACACTCATCGGCGCTAATAGGTCGGAGCCTGCCTGAAAAGCGTTCTCGCACAAATGGGGTGTTCCAAAAAGGCCTTGCCGTCGAGGATCGAAGTAGTTGTCACCTCTTCCGCCGCGGAAGGCGGCGGAAGGTCGGCGGAAGCGAAACGAGGCCGCCTCTGCCGGCGGAATCTCGGCGGAAGGCGCCCGAAGCAAGATATATGCGCCCCCGAGAGCTGAAGCCGTTTTGGGGGTCCAGAGCTCCCGAAGTCGTTGAGCGAATGCAGCGTCGAAGGGCTCGCGCGATCCGCGGCCCGGCGACGCCGGGCGCCGCCGCCGCGCGCGGCGCGGCAGCGACGCCGCCCCCAGGCGGGCGCTGCAGGACGGCCCGGCGCCGTGCGGCGCCGGGGTCTGACGAGGCCCCGCCGCCCCCCCCCCGCGGAGGGAGGCGCCGTCGGCCTCGTCGTCTTCGGCGGCGCTCCTCGCCGCGACGAGGCAGACGACGCCGACGACGACGATGGCGAGGACGACGACGACGACGACGACGACGACGACGACGACGACGACGACGACGACGACGACGACGACGACGACGACGACGACGATGGCGAGAACGACGACGTCGACGACAATACAGACCTTGTCGTTGTCGTCCTCGCCGCGGCGGCGAGGACGACGACGCTGGTGACCCCTGAAACCGGGGCGTTGCAGTTTTTGAAAGAGCGTGATCCACCGCCGCTTTACTGTGGAAAATTGCCGCCCTTTTCCTCCGGAACCCGGGCCCCCCCCCCCCCCCCCCCTCCCCCCCCCCCCCCCCCCCTGCTGGAACCCCCCCCCCCCTTCCCCCGGCAAAACCCCCCCCCTCCCCTAACCCCCCCCCCCCCCCTCGAGCTCGAAAACCGGGGGGGGTCACTACCGGTTCGAACCCCCCCCCCCCCTCGAAAACCGGAAGGGGGGGGTCACTACCGGTTCGAACCACTGAGCTG